AGCGAGCAGGGCAAACAGGCAGCCGAGTTTCACTCCTAGCAGTGGCTCCATCCTGGGGTGCAGAGGCCTGAGAATGCTGAGTGGAGTTGTATCTTTGGAGCAGGAGTGGTACCATAGGCAGCCCCAGCTGGAGGGTCCTCTCTCCTGAGTTTCGGGAGACTGTTGGTGCTGTCCTCCTGCTCTGTGGCCTCTGTTTGCTCAGCATTGCATAGCTGAGTAGGGCCCTGCCCCAGCTTCCCACCTCCTCCCACGTGGAGGCTCCTCCCCTGCTCACGCCTTCCTGAGCTTCAAAACCAGAAACTCCACTCCCACACAGCCCATTGCCGTGTCTTCTCCTCCTCGGCCAGGCCGTGAAGAATCCATGGGCTCTGCATAGTCTTAGTTTCTGCCCCGGGGTTTGGTGCAACCCAGAATGGGACAGTATGGCAGCCAGTTCCCAGGTGTTGTGTGTTGGGGCTGGTTGGTCCTGCCTTGCTGGAGACATTTGATCTAGGCCTTCTGTGCCCTCTCCACCCAATCCCAAGCCTTACAGGTTGCTATGCTGATACCTGAACTGCATCCTTTCAGAGGGGATTTGGGGCGACTTGGGGTAAAGAGGTGGGGCTGTGGGGTGGTAGTACTGCCTCTGTGGGAAGTCGTGGGTGATAGGACACCCCTTTCCTATTATCCCAGAAAAACAGACCCAGGTATGGGAATGTCTAGTGGGTAGTTGACGTTTCCAGCCTTACAACATTGAGCTTGTCAGTTTCTGTCTGTGACGGTTGTGAACAGTAGGAGAGGGATGGAGGTTGAAGATAGAAAATGACTCCTGTCCTGATACAGCAAGGCCGAGGGGAAACAGCCATGACCGGAAGGAAAGGACCTGCTTGGACATATAGGGACCTATCCAGGTGGCCTGCACAACAACTCTGAGACCTGCTGGGCCAGTTTCAGAGAGCTGGGGCGGTTTTCCCACTACTCCATGTTACCCTCCCAGGACAGCTCTGGTCTCTGGTAGATGCAGCAGCATTCCTACAGAACAGGGTGAGCCTGGGATTTAGGAGTGTCGTGCGAAGTCTGGCACTGCTAAGCAGTTCTCGTTATTATATGTTAGTCCAGGACAACTGAATCCTCTTACTTTGTATAAAAAAAAAAAAAATCACAAAATACACTTCCGTTATTATAAAATTTATTATTATTAAAACCTCACAAACACAGACATATGGAGGTCCTAGCACTCCCATCCTGGATACCAGATAGCTTCAGCAGCCTTGGCAGGCACAATAGAAGAAAATACTTGTTATGTGTCCTGTCACCTCTCAGCAGGATCCTGATCAGGGGTCAAAGGAGACTCAGACGGAGTGACCACAGGTAAGAGATCTCCCCAGGAGCTGACTCGGGCACAGCGATACAGATCCCTGTGGAAGAGAGAGGTCAGTGTGGGCTGCAGGTTCCCACCGTGTCCACCACTTCTGCTCGCGTCTCCTGTACCTGCCGTGCCGGCGGGCTGTGAGCACGGCATGCTGCATGTGCCCATCTGGACAGCACAGGTGACAATGCACATGACGAGGCCGTTTAAGGACTGGCTGAGTGATCCGGGGCCAGCGATTAGCCTGGTCTGGAGACCCTCGGGCAAGGATCACCATAGAGAACTTTTCCTCCTTTGGCTTCTTGTTCTAGGATAAGGATACAGAGACTGTTTAGAGGAAAAGAATACGGGAAAATACTGTTTATCTCCCCATCTCGGCAGTCCTTTCTCATATTCTTTAACCACATACACGCAGGGCCTGAAACCTCCAGGCTATTTTATAAATTCCCCAACTCCTCCCACCTCGAATTCTTTGTCCTCATGCTCTCCCAGGTTATTTTCTCTGCTGCGATATTCCCAGGGTACATACCCAACTGAAGGGGATGGGGTGGTAACCCTGGGAGAAGCTGCAGGCCAGGCGCTTCGAGGCTCTCAGCTGGGGACAGGGAAGTTCATGTGGACACTGAACACATAAAGACATGGAATAAGACAAAGAACCATCCATCATGAAATTGAGAGGGTAAGAATAATAGAGTGAAGAAGGCCCAGGGAGAAAGGAGCATAGGTGCAGGGTGCTGAGATCCAGGGGGAAATTAGATGGAGACACACAGGCATGGAGAGTGCCCTAGCTTTCCCCTCTCTTTTCTTGGCCAGAAAGAGTTCGGATGTGTGTGCTGGAAGAGGCAGACGTAATACTCACGGGAGCAAAGACAAAACCAGGTTGAGAGTTCAAAGGTGACTTTTCTTCTCCCTGAAATCAAGATAAATCAAAGAAATAAAGCTGGAATTGGGATTATTTTCATAACTCAGTCTTTGCAGTTAAGTCAGTTGAGGCCTTCCATAACATTCAATTCTAATAAAGATTAACTATGCCCTGGGAGTTTAGCTGGCTGCATCTCTAATACTCTAAACAAAGAACTTTCTCTTTGCAGCAGGAAAAAGGCAGGAACTTGGCATATAGTATGGTGCTCCCCCTTGTCAGCAACCTCCACTCTCAACCACTCGAGGACAATTACATTCATGACTATAGCCCAGCCGTAGTGGCCCAATGCTGGAGCCTAGTGGCTGATGGGAATTTGGATCCTGTGTGCACCTAAAATACTCTGAGGGGATAAAGGTGGGGGATGGCAGGACGGGTACTGCAGCATGGAGACCGTGGCGTGGTCCATGTCCCTCCTGTGCATGCTCTCTCTTTCATGAAATAAATATATCAATTTATACAGTGGCTCACACTTTTCCATAGAGAAGTTTATGACATAGGCATATCCTACACCAAGGGTCTGCAAAGTCTTTTTTTCCCCCAAGTTTTTGTTATAGGGCACATACAGTTGCCATAAAGAGACAGAGAGAGAAAAAAAGTGAGAAATCGCCCCTTATGGGAAATGACCATGCCACAATCCCTTCTTTTCCATTTTCCTCTCAAGATTTTGGGCACACATGCAAAGTGTGTTTTTCCAAGCCACCGAGTCTAGAACTCAATCGCTGCATCGGCCATGTGGGATTCAGCTGCTTTAACCACCATGCCACTGGCTGGCCCTGCCAAGTTCTATTAAAGGATTAGTGAGTAGGCAAAATCTGTGTTCCAACTACTCAGCTCTCCTGTGTGTGGTGTGAAATCAATTCACACACACAGATGTCAACTGGCAAAAAAACAGGTAGTGTCCACAGGGGCTCGTTTGCCAACCACTGTCCTCTATCATGACTTCATATGCCTAGTTCCCGAGAGTCACCTTACCACTGCATAATGGAGCCTCTTCAGCTTCCAAGGGAATAACAGAACATAGTGATAGATGGTGGTGGTGAGGTGTGTGAAGGAGGAAAAAGGAACCCTACCTTAAGGACCAGGTCTCTGGCATCCATGAGAAGGCAGTGCCCAGCTTTTGTCCCATTCTCCACCAGTACCTATTCACAAAGGGCAAAGCAGGCAGAAGCCCTGGATTACCTGAAAGCACAGATGTCAGAGCATTCGCAGATGGAGAGGGGTCCTAAAGGAAACGGGCATTCTCTGAGATGGGGGCAGAGACAGAGACTTCTGAAGGAAAAAAATGTCCAAGAATGAGAGGAGGAGGCATGAAATCCACTGAAATTCAAGTTGTTTTAAAACTTAAGGGGGACAGGGGCTTTCTACTCACCAGAAAATGACCTGTTTTGCGCCACAAGGTTTGAACTACCTCAGTGCGGTCGGCCTTGCTGGGTAGTTCACTTAGGGAAAATGCTGATACCACCACATCAAACTGTACCTGAGGACGGAGACAAGGACCGTGAGCGGCCCAGCATCTCCCCATTCCAGACAAATAATGAAGTGCTAAACTGTACGTTTCTTCTATTGCGGTCTTTTCTAACACTCAACGCTGCGTTGCAGTTGAGCCCGTTTTCCAACTGCCACACTGCACATTTAAAGCTCTTTAAACATCGCTACTTGCCTTGGGAGACACAGGGAGGAACTGTCTGAAAAAGACAGCTGGAACATAAGGTTTTCCAGAGTCTGAACCACCTGTGGAGTAAAGAGAGATGTGGCAACTCTGAGTACACGGACGTGAACAGTCAGATGAAAATGAAAAGAATAGCTCCAAGAATAAAGAAAAACACTAGGCAAGAGCGAAACAGAACAGGGCAAACAGATATTAAAAAGGACAAGGAGAGTAGTGGGTCTCCTGTCCTATTAACATGACCCAACCCATCCAGTCTGGTAAAGGCCTCTACCACCCTCTGCTTGATGGTAACGTCGCAGGGAGACCAGATTCATCTTGACTGTTATGCTTTTCCTCTGCTTCCTAGTCCTTGCTGTTTCCACTTCCCAAGTTTTGGAAGAACCCTTGCTTATAGCGTTGTCCTCACCTTTCAGTAGCTTTTCTGCCAAATTCAACATGGCAGCCGAACTGTCCACACACATATATTCACGTAGGCTCTGGCCCCACATACTGTGAGCAGCCCTAGATGGTAAAATATAAACCACCAATTCTCATGTTAAAGAGTCTTCCCTACAAGTGACCCATCTACTTCCAGCCCCACTCCTGCAGAAATAGGCTGTTATCTTAAAAGAGTTGGTTATTTCCTTTATATACAATGCCCCACAGTAGGGTAAGTAGATATCCATTCGGAGCCTAGATAAACACCAATTAGAGAATGAAAAAAGATATAAAAATAGTTTTTTTTTTTTTTTGAAGAGGTTTTTGCTACAGGGCATGTGCGCTTGCCAGAAAGACAGAGAGAGACACGGAGACAGAAAGTGAGAAATCATCCTCCAAAGGGAATGGCCATGCCACAATCTTCTCCTCCATTCTCCTCTTGGGATCTTGGGCATGCACGCACATGCACCTGGTGTGAGTTTAAGCCACCGGGTCCAGGACTTGAACCGCGGTCGACTACATGGGAGTTCAGCGACAAAGCCATTATGCTAACTGCTGGTCCCAAGATATAAACATCTTTTTAGATTCAATATATTTTATAAAATAAGAAGCTCCCGAAACAGTGATTCTAAACCTTTTTGGGTCACAGTATTCATTCAGAAGATAAAGAGCCTTTTTTTTTTTGGAGAGGTTTTCGCTATAGGGCGCATGCGCTCGCCAGACAAACAGAGAGAGACATAGAAACAGAAAGGGAATAATCAACCCCCAGAGGGGATGGCCACGCTGCAATCCCTTCTCCTCCATTCTCCTCTTAGGATCTTGGGCACGCACGCACATGCGCCCAGTGTGAGTTTTAAGCCACCGGGTCTGGGACGTGAACCACAGTTGACTACGTGGGAGTCCAGCGACATAGCCATTACGCTAACTTTTGCCTCCCGATAAAGAGCCCTTTTAAAAACTAAATATGCAATGTCCCAAGAATCTAAGACTACTTTATAATGAGGAACAGACTAAAAAACTAACTTATAGGCAAAAAAGCTTTGATTGACATGTAAAACGTACGTTCTAGACTAAATTCCTTTCCTTTCCACCCTTCTTCCTTCCTTCCTTCCTTTTAAGGTTTTTGCCACGGGGTGTGTGCACTTGTTGGAGACAGAAAGAGGGAAAGGGAGAAATCACTTCCCCGGGGACTGAGAGAGGGAAAGAAATCACCCCCTAGGGGGCAGTGGCCAGGCCGCAATCCCTTCTCGTCTAGGGATTTTCTTGATTCTCAAGCTGTCAGGTCCAGGACTCAAATCGCACTTGGCCATGTGGGAGTCTAACACCTTAACCACCATGCCACCTCTGGCCTCTTCTTTTAACCTTTCTAAATATAAACCTTCTCCTACCCGACATCTCTTTATGTTCTAACCCCAATCCATATACCTTCTTCTGCTTTGCCTTATTTGTGGGACAGACATTCTAGACTTCCAGTTTTCCTGTTCTCCATGTTTCTCTATCTCAATACTGGAGTGGTGTAAGTATGACACTCGAGAACCAGAATGACAATGAGAGAGATGAAGAAAGCTACTCACCAGGTGACAGAACCAGTACCTGAGCCAAAGTCCATCAAGGTTTGTGGCTGGAACTCTGGAACTCGAGTCCGGATCTGAAGAAATACATGACACCATACAATAGGGTAAGCAGATACTTATTTAGGGCTTTGGTATAAATATGAATTAGGGGCAATGACAAGAGGAGGTGGGATATACACATGTCTTTTGAGATTCAGAATATTGTATAGAATAAGAAACTCCTAAAACAGCGATTCCAAACCTTTCTTGGGTCACAAAATCCTTACAGATAGCGATTAAAAAAATAAATAAATAAATAAAAAATAAAAGCAGGACCAGCAGGTGGCATAGTGGTTAAGGCATTGGACTCCCACCTTACCAACAGTGGTTTGAATCCTGGGCCTGAAGGCTTGAAAATCATGCTGGCTGCTTGTGCATGCCTGCCCAAAGTCCCAGGAGGATAATGAAGAAGATGAACTTGAGGTGTGGCCATCCCCCTTCAGGGGGGTGATTTCTCACTTTCCCTCTCACTGTCTCTCTCTGGCGAGTATACATGCCCTATAGCAAAAACCCTGGGGGTGGTGAGGAGAGGGGGAAGGAAAGCATATGCACCTTCCTAAGAATCCTGACCCCAGAGGACTACTTCATGAATAAGGGAACTGATGGTAAAAGGTTCAGCTTGGAAGTTGAGGACTTTTACCTCGTGGAATGCCCTGGAGACTGCTGCAAAGCCACCATCCAGTCGAGCTGCCATATAGACCAGGCTTAGTCCCTCGTTGTAGCTGCCACAAAAACCAGAGAGTCGTACCTACTGGGAAATAATCTCAATCCTTAGCTGCCTTCTAGATTTTTAGGAAATATCATCTTTGGAAAGAGCTCTTCCAGTTTAGCTCTTTCTCTTTTTTATTTTTTTGAGAGACATTTTTGTTACAGGGTGAGTACGCTCGTCAGAGAGAGACAGAAAGTGAGAAATCACCACCACCACCACCACCACCCCCAGGGGGAAAGTCACAACCCCTTCTCCTCTAGTCTCCTCTTGGGATTTTAGGCATGCACGCACACGTACCCGGTGTGAGTGTTAAGCCACTGGGTCTGGGACTCGAACCCCAGTTAACTACGTCAGAGTCCAGTGATGTAACCATTACTCCATCTGCTGGTTCTGCAGTTCAGATCTTCCATTTCAAATATGGAAGAGTCTTGAAGACTCTTACATTACCCAGATTGCTTTTCCCAACACTGAATTGACTGTGTAACTGTACTAAAGTCCAACTTTCTTTCTCTTGCAGCTTTTCTAGTCCCTTACCTCAGTCCTTGCCAATGGTAGGTAGTTTTACGCAGGGCATGTAGCACCGTTCCCAAAAGTTTCTCCTCTGTCTGAGGTAAGTCTGGGGTGAAACAAGGATGGGAAATGAGTTCTTAAGGGGAAGAGGGCTCAGATCCAATAATGTGTATACTGCCCACCCAGTCCTTACTTACTCCCACCTGGGAAAAGCTTCAAAGCTCCACTTTCAAAGTGTATCCAATAGGATTTTGCCCCTAGCAGCAGTTCAGTCATATAACCAACCCTATACCTTAGGTTTTCTTTTTATATTAAAGGGGAGTGTAAAAAAAATGGGAAGAACAAGATAAAAATTATATTTTGTGGATTTCCTTATTTTTCTAAAACTTAAGAGGATTGTAATGTCTCTTGTTTCCATGAGAAGAAAAGGGGCTAAAAAATCTAAGTCTCGGGATTATATCAGTTCAGTACTACAGATTGAGCACTCTAGATCTGAAATGTTCCAAAATCTGAAACTTATCAAATGCTTAAATGATGCCATGAGTGAAAAATTTCACACCTGACCAGATAGGATGGGTCACAGTCAATACCTTGCAATACAAAAATATAGTACAGAATTACCTTTGGGCTATATGTAACTAAAACATTAATGAATTTCATGTTTAGACTTGGGTCCCATCACTCAGCTATCTCATTACATATACGAGAAGATCTCAGGGTCAGCAGGTTGAATGGTGGTTGGGGCACTGGACACTCCCATATGGCTGATCATGGTTCGAGTCCCAGACCAGGTGGCTAGCTTTCTTACTTTCCCTTTCTCTCTGGTCAATGTAAAATAAATTAATGAATAAATAAAATTTAAAAAGAAGAAAGTAAGTCAAAGACCAAAATCCAGAACACTTTTAAGCACTTTGAATAAGAGATATGTAACCTTTCTTTTAATAAGTATCTACTGAGTTCCTACTCTTAGCCAGACACTATGGAAAGTGCCAGATATGAAAGATGGGGGGTGGGGGGAGCAGGTCTGTAAAAAGAAACTCACAATCATGGAAATCATATGATGAATTATATTTATTCTCCTGTCCTTGAAGAGGATTTCAGTACTGGACAGGGAGCTGCACACAACTTTATTTCATCTGAATGAAACATAGAAGGTCCTAATCTAATAGACTTGCAGGGAAAAAACAAAGATCTAGATTTTAACAGTATATCATGGGCACTGGATATACTGGAACCCCAAGGACAATCTCAAGAAAGAAAAATCTACCTTCTCTTAGTAAGGCATCATTGTACAACTGCTCTGGCTAGACAATTGAATAAGAAACCGCAGCATGTATTTGAGAAAACAAAATTATCTCTTACTCTTCATTTTCACTGATAGTTCAATCTTGCTTGCTCTATAATTATTCGTAAACCCTACCCGAGTTTTCCAGGATTCTCTTCTCGATATCCATCGCCCGTCTTCGCAACTCTTCTGGCTCTACAGGCAAATGCCGGCTCCACAGATAATTGGTCAGTGCTTGCACCTGTTTCTCCACATTGGGCACTGCGCTCTCTATGGGCCAAAGATGACAGCGGAATCACCCGCGTGCAAGCCCAGCCCGGGTTGCTGTGGCGCTCCCCTTCCCGCCGTTACTCACGGAGCAGCAGCAACTGCGCGGCGTTCTCCAGTGCCTGCGGCAACCGCACGTACGGCAACTGCAGGATGCCGGGGTGCTGGCGATGGGGCTTCTTCCCCAGGAAATCGGACTGGTTATCTACCTGGGTCACGCCGGGCACGAAGCTGGCATGCGCCTGCAGCAGGGGAAGGAGGCTCATTGCGGCTTAGGAGCGGAGGCTACGGCTGGGGCGGGGATCTGACAGCGCTCCGCCTCGGGCCGAGCTGTCTGAGAGCAGGAGAAGCACGCACTCACCCGGCACTGGGGAGCCACGGCAAGTCCTCGGGGCCATCTGCCTCGAGTCAGTAGACACCACAGTTCCCTGGCGGGCGCCATGACACCGGAGGTGAACCGGAAACGGAAACGCCCTTGGTTGGCTCGCCGCGCGGAGCATCCTCGGCGGACTTCGGCCCCGACGTGTTAGCCAATGAGAAGAGGGCGTGCTCGCAGCGCGGGCGGGCGTTCCGAGTATAAATACCGGAGGGCGGGCCTAGGTGGCCGGGACGCGTAGGGGTTTCGACCTCTTCTGCCTGACATGGGTTGGTCTCGGGGCTGCGTCCAGACTTCCCACCAGGGCCAGAAATGGGGAGGGGTGCGGACGGGCCAGCGACGGGGAAAGATTATTTCTAGAGATCGGCCTACCTGCATTCCTTCCTGGAGAAGTCGGGTTCCTGGATTGTTTTCCCGGTGCGAAAAGGGAAGGATGTAGGAACGGAAAGATGAGCTGAGACAAACCAGATTTAGGCGACTGAGGCTAACAGAAACCAGTCATTTACTAGTTATTAAATATTCATGTTTTAGTAAATACTGGGCCAGCTGGTGGCGCAGCGGTGTTAAGGTGGCTGGACCCCATATGGCCTTTGGAGCCCTGGGCCCTGCCTCTTGAAAAGCAGTACCTTCTTGTCCAGAATCGGGAGAGGAGAGGAATTGTTCTTGGATATCCCCTCTGGGGGGTGCTGTCTTACTTTCCCTTTCTCTGGTGAGCAGGCGAGCTTTATAACAAATTAAAAATAAGAGTCTCATAAATATTAAGCCTAGTTAATAGATTAAATGTTGTTACATTTCTTAGTTTCTCATCAAATTAAGCCTGTCCTTGTAGGTAAATAGCTAACCCTTTTTTCCCTTTTTATTTACTTATTTACATTTTTCATTTATTTTACATATCGAAAAATGTAAATGCTGGGAACCAGCAGTTAGCATAATGGCTATGTCGCTGGATTCCCACGTAGTCTACCGCGGTTCGCGTCCCGCACCCGGTGGCTTAGAACTCACGCTGGGCGCATGTGCGTGCGTGCCCAAGATCCCAAGAGGAGAATGGAGAAGAAGGGATTGTGGCATGACCATCCCCGGGGGTGGGGGGGGTGTGATTTCTCGCTTTCTGTCTCTATGTCTCTCTCTCTCTGGCGAGCACAGGTGCCCTGTAAGGGGGGGGAATGTAAGTGCTCAGGCACCATAGTTCTTGACAGTTAATAAACAACTTTCAAAATTTCCAGAAAACTGAATTTTAAAGATAATCTTTAAAATATTTGTTATACTCTTGTGATTCTGTAACAACAGACAATAGGGTTTTAAATACTTTTTAGAAAGTAGTTACATGTCAACAACTCAAACTGTTGAGAAGCAAACATCAGCACACAAAACCAGAATCTTCTCAACTCAGTTCTGCCTGCCAAGTATTCTGTGGTTTACCATGTGCTAGTGGAGATCAGTCTATTTTTCTTCCTTCAAAGTTCCTCAAGGGTAATACTCTAGTTATGGCTGCTCTTTTGCAATCTCTGGTGATTACCGTGCTGGGCTGGAAAAGTCCAGGTTATTTTATGGTACGAATTATTTCATATGGCTTCTCTAATCCTCTATGCCAGGCATAACTGTTTATAGTGCCAGGCAGTCCTCCCAAGAGCTTCTGTTGGCTTTCTTGAGATCTACCTTAATCCATAGTTTTCTGGTCGTATCTTTAGATACGACATTCCAGTCAAAACCCTGGCAATAAAGAGTGTCTCTAATTTATTTATTTATTTATTTATTTATTTATTTAATATTTTTTTTAGAGTTTTTTTCACTATAGGGTGCATGCGCTCGCCAGACAGAGAGAGACATAGAGACAGAAAGCGAGAAATCACCCCCCGGGGGGATGGCCACACCGCAATCCCTTCTCCATTCTCCTCTTGGGATCCTGGGCATGCATGCACACGTGCCCGGCATGAGTTTTAAGCCACCAGGTCCGGGAACCGTGGTCGACTACGTGGGAGTCCAGCGACATAGCCATTATGCTAACTGCTTGTTCCCAAGAGTGTCTCTAATTTCTTATGTAAGGCAGCAGATATTATTAAATGTATGCAAATTAACCGTCTGCCACAAAATAAGAATACTCACAAATATTTTTCAATTCCAGAGGGGTCAGGAAGGGAGAAAAGTTTATATTTCAATTTTAAAAAACAATAAAGCAAAGAAAAAAACATTTTAACAAATTGTTGAAGTTATGAATAGCTCAAAGAAAGCAAAATCCTTAAATCTGGAAAACAAAGCATAGTAAAACAATCAATAATGTTTTACTCAAAAGTCATAAAATTCTATTTCACCAGTTCAGTATCATGTAATTAATCTCTCTTCTGTTGAATTTTTAGTGTTATTGTGGTCTAATCTTTCTGTTTAAATCCTAACATTTAACATTCAATGTTATTATTGATATTTCTGGAATTGTCCCTAGCATTTTCTTGGTTGCTCTTTGTTCTCTTCTGCATGTGTGTGTCTTTAGTATTCCTGATAAATCACTCCTTTCAGAACTTCTTGAAGCGCTTTTGGTGTTGGTAAATTCTTTTGAGTTTTGTTTATCTAGAATATGTGGAGAGCAGCCAATCTGAAAACATGTGATTAAAACATGTGGCCTGAAGACACGTGCAGATATGTGCTTTCCTAAGCTTCTCTACACGGCTATTGAGAAGCATCTACATATGAAAGCAGTACCTGCCTGTTGTCAATGGCTGTCTTCCTGCTCTCCTTGAAACTCAGTACCTCGATACTGCCCAGTATCAGGCTAAAGGAAGTCACAAGCCTTTTTCAGATTATTCCCCCAAAGGATCTGTGTAATTATATGGCGCCAGTCATTCTCACATCTTCAGTCGATTTACATCCAAAACAACCGGCTTTGCATCCCAATTTCTCCTCCCTTATTCTCTTT